CGAGGGCTATTCAGCATACGTATATTGTCTCTCCACTTGACATGGCAGGGTAGTTTTTTTTCCGTCCAACGCCTCTTGGCCAGATCGTTCAACACGTTCAGTTGCATGTTGCATAGAACCAGTAAATTAACTATTAAAGCATACAAATAGCCACCATTGGGCGGGGGCCACTAGAGTGAACTGGTATGGGACCTGTACATAGTCCAGCAGCCGTCACGATTCCATTGCAGAAAAACAGCAAACAAAAAAAACAACACCCAAAGCAACAGAACACACAAAAACACAACCAAACAAAAAACAAGCACCAAAAACACAAAGAGGAAAGTGATCGGCGGTCCAGTTCAGTGACTATCGATAGCATTGTATCAACTCAAGTATTGGTATGGCGAAACCAAACAAACAGGAAAAACAGAGACACAAAAATCACATACCGTTGTGTGAGTGAAGCAACACAGCACTGTGCGGAAACCAGGGATCGACATGGCGGGGATGATAGGGATGGCTCAGACCCTGGCGGTGTACCACTACGGATATCATACCCTGCCCACACAGATAGCTGCAGTCTTGGACTGGGGACTTGATACTCCGCAGGGGACGCAGTCGAAGATCCCTCCTCAGATGAAGAACGAGACACCACGGATGATGAGACCGATGCGGAAGCGACGTCGGCAGAAGAGCCGTGGTGTCCGCCTATCCCGGACACGCCAGATGACCCGACCGAAAACGAGATCGCTGGAGCCGCCGACAAGTTGGAAACCATAATGAATGGTTCTCAACCCCAGGCGAATATCTTCTTCCAGCCAGACAACCTAGGCGCACTTCCGGCCTTGTGGCTACAGGCGAAATTGACCATCTCGTTGACTTCCATACAAGACAAGTTGGCTAAATTGTTTATGACATTGCAGCAGAACTGTGGCTGCGAGGACGCATCGAGACCCTTGAAGCAGGTGTCCTCCTGGCTCAGTTGGTAGGACGTCGCGGACAGACTGCCGGTAGTGGTTCGATTCCCCGCTGGTCCGCGAGTAAGCCTCAAGTGGTGACCCGCCGAAAGGCAAAGGGCGCCGACCAAAAAAAAGCATCGAGACCCTTCAAGCAGTCTTCCAGGCTGCTGCCAGAAACTTCACTATTCGGCTTGCAGAAAAATTATGCGAAGTATTTGTGCTCGCTAATGCGACGGGCTGAAACCTTGGCCACCCCAGAAACGGAATGCCTTCTTTACGCCATGTATTGGTTTCGGCCGATTTTTGTCTGAGTTGATCGGAAAGTGCAAACGTCAACCGAGATCGCGCCCCCCTTAGGCTGCCAGCACTCGTTCCCGTGGAAAAAGCGCATGTGCGATCGGTTCGCTTGGTTGGCGCTTGGGGCATTCAACTGGCACCGGAGCTTTGGTGGAAATCCAGGGACCTTGGGACTGGGAGTGGGCAATATCACTGCCCGTGACTTGGAAGAGGTCTTTGCCGTCTAGGTGATCGAGGCCTTCGGCAAGGGCTTGGCAACTGGGAACAGAGCTGGCGTGAGCTCTTACAGTATGGAGATCGAGAGCTTTGAGGGTCCTGCGGAAGGGGCTGAAGTGAGCGACAGTTCAGGCTGGGCGAACTGGAGCTGGGGCAGCCATAGGAGCCGTGGGGATCAACGAGCTGAGGTGGAGAACTATGACATAGCGTCCAATGCTTCCTATGACTCCTCTAATGTGTCGTGGTGGAGGACTGATGACCGTTGGTCATATGGGTCATGGGGGAACTCTTCAAGTGATAGCAGGGAGAACTGGACGTATGTCACACGACGTGAGTGGCCAGGGTGGGATCGGTCAGATCCGTGGCATCGCTGGCATGAAGAAGGCCATCATGCTCGAGATTCTGGACAAGGGCATCGTTTGGGAGAACCTGAACGCCGTGGAAGTGATCGAGAAGGACATCATGGAGAATCTGATGGCGATGATGAACCAAAGGGTGAGCTTCCCAGTGGCAACGTTGTCAGTGTTCATGACAAGGCTGACAAGGAGGAGGAAAAGAAATTGACAGGGAAGCCTTCGAACTCCTATCCCCCAGTGTTTAGAGCTCGCCAAGGTGAAAATTACCGGGATTGGAAAAGAGCCGTACGTTTCTGGCTTCATGGAGAAGGTCATCAACTACCAGTCGCTTTGATTGGCCCGAGGGTCATGGTGCAGCTTAGAGATCGTGCAGCTCAATTGGTGAAGCACTTGGAGCCGGAACATGTGAACTGCAAGGAGGGTCTCGACAAGCATCTTCGAGACTTTGGAGCAATCACCAATTGTGAGATTGAGTGAGAAGCATCGAGTAGATTGGCATCGGAAGAGGCGGTTGAATTTGACAAGACTGGCAGGTGAGAGTTTGGAAAGTTACATCACCAGGGCTGGCCTTTACCGAGATCAACTACAAGGCCTGGACGCTTCGTTGACCGACCATGGGTGAACGTTTCTTTGTTGGTCATCTTCTGGACCATGCTCGCCTTACCAGGAGGGACAAAGCCATGATCAAAACACATGCTGTGAAGGAGGATGAGGTGGCGATCACCGGGGCTATGATGGAGCTATCCTCGGAGCTGGAGGGCGAGCAGGGCTTCCCCATCGGCCAGGCAGAGGCACAGGTGAGCGGCAATCAAGGAGAAGAGCATTTGGTGCAGCGAGGGGTGATGGGCTTTCGCTACAAGAAGGACAAGCCGGCCCTTCTGGCGGAGATGGCGGATGTGGAGACAGCCACAAGTGCCTCCCTTGAAGGCCTACCAGAAGAAGCTCCTGCCGATGAAAGTTGTGAGGAGTTGGAAGGGGCACCCATGGATGTCTTGCACGCTGAGCATGAGGCGATGGCCTTGCAGTACAAGGCCAAACAGAAGATGGCTGAGGTCAAGAAGTTGCGAAACTTTTATCGCCGTTCAGAGAGCGATTCCAAGAAGGGCAACAAAGGAGGAAAATGCTTTGTGTGCGATGAGGCGGGTCACTACGCCCGCGACTGCCCAAAGGTCAAGGCAGCCTTGGCCACGAACCCTGTTTTGGTGACGACCTCCGCAGCCAAAGGGCATGCTCAGGAGGATCATGAATGGGGTCTTTTGGAAGAACTTTGTCGCAGCCAACATGCGACGGATTTGCCTGCGTCTGGAGCATACATGGTGCTGATGGGTTGCAATGCGGGTGGAATCAAGGTATCCCCAAAGTCAAATGCTTCCTCCACTATGAATCCTTTTGAGACATGGTGGAATATGAAGGAGTTGTCAAGGAAGGTCATTTTGGATTTGGGGTGCATGCGAAATGTGGTGGGTGTGCAGTGGGCAAATGACGTAGTGCAGGAATGGCAACATCACAAGCGATGGTTCAAAGTTTTGCCTGAGGAAGAAGTATTTCGTTTTGGTGATGGCAACACCCTCAAGAGTAAGTACCGTTTGCAGCTTGAAGCCACTTTTGGAGGAAAACGTATCTGTTTGGCATTCAGTGTAGTCGGCGGTCCTTGTCCTCCTTTGCTGTCAAAGCAGTCCCACACCATTTTGGGCGTGCAATTGGACACATCACAACATACTTTGTCATCTAGGAAGTTGAAGGTGAAGAACTATGGACTTCAAGAAACTCAGGCAGGTCACTACACCATGAGGATTGATGAATTTCACCTACTAGATGACGTATGGCATGTTCCTCAAGATTTTGTGATGGATTCAGATTTGGAGGCCATGTTCACCATGTCGGTTGACTCGAATGACCGCGAGGTTTTTGGCTTGAAGCTGGCTCGAGAGTGTCGCCCTCGTGCACCACTTGATGGCCACGCCGCTCGTGAATCCCCCGCAATGCCGCCTTTGCGGAGTAGTGGGTCATCGGACGAATCAATGTCCGGAGATGTCCGACGACGAGGAGAGCTTCGTCATGACCATACCGGAGGACCTTCTGGGGGCTCAGCAGGAGGAGGCAGTGAGATTGAGCGACCCCCGAGAGTGCACTCGGAAGCAAGCCCCACAGAACATGGAGGTGGAGCCGAAATGGCGAGATCGAGGAGCCGCAGCCCCTGCAGAAGCCCTTCGAGGAACTCCGAAGGCGACTCCAGCACCAAAACAGAAACAGCCAGCCCGATTACAACGGGGTCTTCCTCCGTCAGAGGACGAGGACGAGAGTGTGGAGTTGGTGGGGAGCTCCAACATTCAAGGCCTTACCATGGAAGAGATGAAGATGATCTGCAAGAGACGCGAGAAGCAGCAAGCAGCAGCACAACAACGCCTGGCCACACAGGCGCTCACGGGCTGGGAGGCGAAGTATCCCTCTCTGAGCAATGTCTTCAGCGACGATCTGGCCTGCAATGTGATGAGGAGCACTTGCAGCCGGCTGAGGACGTACTTATGGAAGAAGCTGGTGTGGCAGATGAGGGTGAAGATGGCGGTGCAGATCGAGTCGAAGGGGAAGGCCTCATGGAAGAGGAATCCGAGGTGGCTGATCGAGCCTCCTTCTGAGCTACGAAGTGGCGTCACTGTGGGGTCACTTCGGGGTGATGAGACAGCGGCTTCGGAACACGGACTTCCACGCCCAGGGTCATGGACGCGAGTCATCCCCCAGAGGGGCCTCATCCAGAGGTTCAAACAAGCAGTGACGGAGGCCAAGCAGAGGCATGTGGCAGTGACCAAGATGCAGTACATGCGAGAGCACTACTTGGTCCTCGAGCTCTTTGCTGGATGTGCGAGGTTGACATCAATGGCACGCTCACGAGATGGTTGGGAGACGATGGACCCGGTGGACCTCATCTATGGGCAGGACTTTTGCAATGCAGCCACCAGAAAGCAGGTGCTGAAGTCAATTCAGATCATGAAACCTGATCTGGTGACCATGAGCCCTCGATGTGGACCTTGGTCGCAGTTGCAGCGCATCAACCCCAATGGTGGACAAGGTGATGGAAGATCGACAAGCTGACATCCCCTTGTGGAGGTTTTGCCGAGAGGTTTGGGACGAGCAGGACAAGCATGGAAGATTGGCTCTCACAGAGAACCCTCTCCAATCGGCGGCGCTGACAATGGACTTCATGATGGAACGACCTCATCTTCATCGTGCTAAGGTTCCTCAATGCGCCTTTGGCCTGAAGGATGTCATCAGTGGCAAGCCTCACCAGAAGTACACGGCCTTCGATGTCAATGATGAGGACATGTGTGAGGCACTACTGGTGAATGCGGTGTGCAACCATATCCCTGAGGAGCACCAGCCGATTGAGGGCAACGTCTACTGTGAGGGCAGATGGCAAAGAAGATCGGCATTGGCATCCAAGTGGCCCGAGCACATCCTTCAAGCAGCTGAGAAGGCGTGGGAAAAATGTGATGTGCAGGCACCACGCAAGCTCACTGAGTCTAGGGAGCCGGGCAAGTCCCACTACGTCATGCCGGTGGAACCTTTCCCTACGCCCGAGGGCGAGCTTAGGAAACAGCTGGAGAAGGCCGATTGGCGCGGGGGGCAATATGACTATGACTATGTGTTCTTTGAAGGACTAGCAGGTCAAGGGCCTCACAAAATTCGGCAGGCCCTAGCACATTTGCATGTGGTGCTGGGCCATCCATCACAGGAGAGACTTGTGCGGATGCTCCTTGTCAGTGGCACTAGCCCGAAGATCATTGAGATGGTGAAGGGACTACGTTGTCAAATCTGCCAAGCAGTGCGACCTCCTGGAGCAGAGCCAAAGGTGCCGGCGCATCGACCTACGAGGTTTGGGGAAAAGGTGTTGGCCGATTCCTTCTTCATCTGGGACTCGAAGGGTGAACGCTTCAATGTCACTCATTTGATTGACGGCCTGACCGAGTTCCACACTGGCAATGTGAGCAAACAGGTGGGCGCTGAGATCACGGCTGATCTGCTGCAAAACAAGTGGTGCGGCATTCTGGGAGCGCTTGAAGTTCTTCAAACAGATGGAGGAAAAGAGTTTGAAGATGTGGTGCACCGCCTTTCACGTCTTTTGGACTTCAGACATGAGGTCGTGCCGCCTGGAGCAAAATGGAGACAGGGGCAAGTGGAGCGATGATCAAGTTGATGATGATGAGAGTCATCCTCACCCATCAGATTGAGGGCCTTGAAGATATGAAGTTGGTGGCGATCAGCTGCTTCAATGCCAAGAATCGCCTGTGCAACCGCATGGGATTGTCACCTTTGCAGGCGGTGACAGGACGCAACACAGCTGTCCCTACCTCCATTTTGGAGCAATTGTGCAGCGGACAGGTGAAGTGCACAATCAATGATGAGTTGCAGGTGAACGAAGCACTTCGACGGGCAGAACGAACTAGAGCTGCAGCAGTGGACAGCTTCAATTGGGTGGACTCTTCTGAGGCTTTGAGAAAGGCATTGAATTGCAGGTCACGGCCGCCCAAACTTGAGAACCTCCAAGAAGGCATGACGGTGTATGTGCACGAGCCCCCACCATCCCGACGTGGCCAACATCGCCGCCTACAAGATCACTCGAGCTGGGATGGACCTGGTTTGGTGGTGTGCGTGGAGAAGCAAGACGGAGCTCCACGGCGAGTGTGGGTGCGACTTCGTGCCAAGGTGAGAAGCTTTCCTCTGGAGAAGATTCGTCTGGCCACTCCAGATGAGATGCTGGGCTCCCAATACGTCATACAGGCTATGAACGAGGTGATGGGGGAAATCAAGGATGGAAAACTTCCTTGGAGGAGAATCGCTGTGAGGCAACCTTGCGACCAGCACCTCCAGCATCAGCAGGAGCTCAGCGACGTGGGAGCAACATGGATTGAGACTTCATGTTGGACGATCAAGAGGCAGCCCTACGTGCACGTCAAGTGCGACGATTGGAGATCCAGAATGACTTGCCAGATTCTGTGAGAAGGGCGACATACAAGCAGTTTTAAACTCTCAGACCGCCGGAGTGAGCGACATCCATGCTTGGGGATTGATGCTCCCGTCCAGCTCAAGAGTTAGCCCTGTGACATACCACGCCGTAGTTGCAGTTAGATACCCTGATCTCTGCAGACACATCAACGATATGTGGGAGCTGGGAAGTTTTGCTTCTGGAGGACTCCCAGACCGGCCACCAGGGTTCCAATTCGTGCTTTGGGACACTAATGCTAGAATTAATGGGCTAGTAGCGACAGACCTAGAGACGCTTGTGTCAGAGGTACTCTCCCCCTTCCCCAACAATGCCGGATTTGCCGATGGGCTGTTCGTAATGACCACCGCAACAGACCACAAGAATAACTTGAACCGCTCGGTGCTCAAGAAGGACTATGCCCGCACTCTCCGTGTAGAATCAATAGCCAACTCAGCAGGAGGCACTTCACAAGTAGCAATCGTAGCCCAGCCCAGTATTGGATTCCTGAACACAAAGTATTACTCCGATGGTTCCCCCACAGAAGATACTGAAGACTGCCTTGGCCGAATCACGGTCGGACTCACCCGTTCAAAATCCTTGACCATCTTGGTTTCCCCGCTCGACATGATGGGACTCATGGGCATGGCCCAAGTGGTCGCGACCATAGCATATGGTATCCGGAGCCTTAGAAGACGCGAGACGACATGGAACTGGCCTGAATTCGATGACGACCCCGAACAGGAGAATCTTGCACAGATAACTAAATGGTCATTGAATTCAACGCCCTCATGGGAATTCCCTCCCCTCGCAATCGCCAACCAATACCAGGACCAGCAAACCAATGAGGTGAAGCGGGCAAGATACCGCCTGATATTAGTTCGCGGGTCAGATCTACGCTGGCTGACCAGAGACCGCTTTCAAGAGGTCAAAACAGGCCTTGCAGCACAGCATAAATGGATCCCTGTTCAGGATCTCCACTTCTCGGAAGTCGTCCTGTATGCCTATGTGGCTGACCGCACACCCTTTCCCACACATGTCTGCCTGCCTTCAGGACTGTACAAAGCGCGCACCGGGCAAGTTGTGGCGCAGACCGGCTCCGAACAGGAAATCCTGCCCTTGCCAGATATTTACTTCTTTGATGGATGGCGGGTACACCCAACGCTGCCAATCCCCGGCCATCTGCCACGCACCAGAGAAGCGCCGGTCCAAAATATCTCTGACTGCCCCTGCACCAGGTACAGACCCCGCTCGGTCGCCGGAAGAAGAAGCGAGAGACATCCTGGCGACTGCTGCCAAGAATCAGCCTGACGACGGACCAAACACAAGGAGGGCAGCAGTCCGTGCATGCAAGTACTTAAGCGCTATGGTCAACCAGTATGGGTCCACCATACAAGAAGTACACAAGGCGGCCCGCACTCACACACAGATGAGCAAGGGCACAGCAGGGGCACCAGTGGATTATCGACCACAAGGAGGGGCTCTCCCAGTTATATCCCCAGAACTAACATCAGAATTATTACATTGCCTGTCCACGCTACCCGACCCATGGCCCCTGGCCAAAATTGCAATTGATATGGAGAAACCCAGCCAGTGGGTTTCCAAATTGTGCCGACTTTACTTTGCTGATGAATATGCCAGGCGAACAGTCGGGTTGCCCTCGGCTACACGTGTCCCAGACATTGAAACAGCGCTCCAAGCAGTCCATAGAATCCTCCCAAAACTGGAAGCAAGGATGATTGAATTTTTAGCTGAATGGTTAGTCACCCTCCTGATACCAGCTACGCACTTTTTGGAATTGAGGGCACCTCATCTTTCCTTTATGTTGCTCAAAGAATACTGGTTCAGAGAGCTATACCTCGGACTGAAAGTCACTGCATCTTTTGACCGAATCATACACGCGAGTCATAGATGGGCAAGTTAGATGCATCACGCCTGAAATTAAGCCACAGAACCTGCAGGTTATCTGGAATGTTCAGTTTATCACTGTTTTTGTGCCGGCATGGATGATCCCGCCTGTTTACCACAGTCTGCGCAGGGAAAGCATCAAGAACGCCAATTCTGCCAGTGCCATCGGTGTCCAGACAGTCCGCCCCACCTGGTTTGAAGACAGTGCGGTACCCGTCAAGCCTAAAGAGACTGCCGATGAAAGACCAACCAGAATTCCCAGCGCTTGCTGTACTGGCCGCGCCGGACGTGCTCGCGCCGGATACATGGAAGTGCAAACGGGCACAGGTTGGCCTTAAGGCCACAATTGATGTCCCTATGCCAGGCACAATCATTGAACAAAATGGTGACGGACTCCTTGAGGACTCCCACATGCCAGTAGGATGACCACTGCACATCGACGGTGCTGTCAGGCAACGCTGTATTCACCGAGCTGCGACCCACCAAGAACTTGATGACATGCTGAAGGAATATGACATGAAAAGAGCTTCGGTTGAAATAAACTATGACGCACCCCAATGGCCCCACTACGCAGTATGGAATAGAAGGTACATGGAACCGAAAACAGGATACACGCTGCGACAACTTTGGGCTGATTCCGAACCGGCCATTGGACAGAAATCTTCCCTTCTTATGAAATCAAAGAAGGTGACATTTTACGTGCAGTAAGCCATCGCAAACCTGCTGCCCTCCACGCTACATGCCAGTCCCTTTCATCCGTGCATTGGGGACACCGGCAGCCCAACATGCCCCGCCACAGACCAGCACCATAGCGCAAAGAGCCCTAGAAGAATGGGAACGCACCCTGTGTGAAAACAAAGCGGTGGCAATCCTTGAACAAATGCAAGCCGGCCGACCGGCCCTCATCCAGAAAGACGGCGGCGAAATGCTCATTGCCATTGTCCTTGATCGGCCACTGGCTGAAGCGAAGGCGCCAGTGGACGACCCTGCAGCCTTCACTTGCGAAATGACCAAGATTTTGCTCGCCAAGCAGAACCACCCACTCATCGCCCAAATGATGAGGCCAGCAGGAAGCGGTGACCCACTCCCTGCACATAGCACAGCCAGTGGCACCAGCAGCCACGCACGCCCCACCGCCATCTACTGAATACCCTGTGTACAGCTTAGCCTAGTGGTATGGAACGACCGACTCCTATGAAAGATGCCGCTGTCCATCGCCTTGCAAAGTCTATTACTCAACTGACCCTTTGCCAGGTCACTACCAGTGAAGTCGAAGATGCCACCAAACTTCTGGAGAAGGCATGCCAGAAGCTTCAAGGCATACAAAACATCCCATCCCAGAGGGTCACTGACCTTGAAGCTGCCATACGCCAACTCCGCCAGATTGGCTGTATATTGGATAGTTGTACAATCTCTGCCAGCTACGAAGTAACCCAAGCGCAGAAAGCCATACTGCTTCTGGATCATACAGCCAAAGGCGTAAAACTTTGATACACAAAGTTAGATCGCGAAAACCGCTTTCAAACCTCTCGTGCGCAAAGTAAACCCAAACCAAAACACAAACAAACGGTGATCGTTTCGCGTTTCTGCTGTGTCGACTCTCCCAGGCCGTCTCACGGCGACACACACACCCTTTTCGAGCTCGCGGGTCTTGAGCCAACGTTTACGTTGGGTCATAGCAGTTCCAAAAACGATTCTACAAATCTAGACACGTGCAAAAACAAGCTTCTCCGTTCCTAAAAACCTAAGATTGGTTTCGTGCAGTTTGGTTCTCGTGTGAAATAACCTACAACGTGCAGAAAACCTAAAAACGGCTAACTACAAACGAAAAATGGCAACTCCGTCACAACTCTTTGTGACGGAATGAGATGAGATCGATTAACTACATCACAATCACCTGCTAACTACAAAACAAAGTCCAAACTACGCAAGTCCACAAACTACAACTACAAAGCAACTAACAACTACCTAAGTTCAAGCACAAGATCGCTACTCTAGCTATACATAGGATGATTTTTCACACCCCCTTTCGAACTTGTGCGACTCAAATCCAAAAACGAATTCAGTCACTCGGCCTTGACATTCCCCATGCCATAGCAGATAGGGCATGCTAACAGCGTCATCTGCTTTGACTTCTCCGTTGTACGGCAACCTGAACAGTGATACTTCGATCCTGTTGAAGTCACAACCAACAAGGGTCCAGTCTCCGGTTGGCAAACCTGGCAATTGTCTCGGCATCGAATATGTCCATTTGGACCAGCGGCGGCAATCAAAACCTTGCACTTCTCATTGCAGTGATACATCTCTCGGCAAAAACTCCAATAGATACGAGTACCTGGGCCTTCACCGTCAGAATCACAAGACAAAGCTGTAGAACTCTTCATAGCTGTACCTGAATTTCTTGCAGTTGTATTGCGGCTTTTGCAACATTTCGTAATGCAGTAAGCTGAAAGAATACCAGATAGAAAACCCAGTGTATATACAAAGAATAAGAGCCAGTAGAGCTCTTCCATCTCTCCAGTGGCCATGGCTTGCGCGACCTGCCCACACACACAAATGGCTGCGGAAATCCAATCAAGCTCAAGCTGAAATCCATTCCAAGCAGTCCACAAACATTCCAAAGACAGTCCATCAAGGAAAGTCCAAAAACAATCCAGAAAGTCCAAAGATCATCCTCTCGATGTCTTCTAAAGACTTCTGCAACTACGAAAGTCCAAAGATCATCCTCTCGATGTCTTCTAAAGACTTCTGCAACCAAGAAAGTCCAAAGATCATCCTCTCGATGTCTTCTAAAGACTTCTGCAACTCTTGCAATTCAAATTGGATTCAGAACTATATCATGCAATCGTCAGACCTCAAAGTCTCGATAATTAGATCCGACTACCCAAGCAACGCACAGGGCAACGATCAAAGAGAGTTTTCAGCCTCATGTCTTAGACATTTAAAGACCTTTCTCTATCCAGATGACTTCACAAGTCGTTCAAGTTATCTAAACTCTCACAAGTCCACTCTCGCAGCAGACTCTTCCTTTTTCCTCAGGGAAGATCAGGCGATAAAATCAGCGTAGCTTCGACGCCATCGATCACCTGAGGGCAAGTAATGCGAGCAT